TCTGTCACTGGGTTATTAGATATTGTAACCCAACAGCCTGAGGTTAGTCATGTTTCCTTCTGCTGAGACCAGAGGGTGTCTGGGCTATCTTCCTGAACTCCTTTCAAATATTAGGTAATGCATATTTATTGTGCTAATGGGAGCACAGGTGTCTCAGACATCACAATCTGGCTTCAGACAGAGTAATGATGGAACTGCATAGAGGCTGCAGGCACCACTGTTCTGTTAATTAAAATCTCCAGCAAAGATCTTGTCTTAATGCGTTAGAACAGGAAAACAGGAACAAACCTATTGATAATTGGAAGCCTATGATAAATCTCATTCACTGCCTTCCCCTGCACTGGTATAATATCCTGGACAAAGAGGGTCCCTAGAGGGCAGAACCACACATGCAGTGAGGTGGGAAGAGGTTATCTGTCTGCTTTGTGTCTCAAACAATTTCCTGCAATTTTCTCCTCTGCACCAACCAGGCGGAGAGGACTGCCCTGTACTTTGCAGGGAGAACAGTTTATACTGGTAGGAGAGTGTTTATTTAATTAATGATGTTTACATCTGTCTTATCCCTTTGCCAGGACCTAGGATATCTTAAAGTCCAAAGCATCCCTTTAAATATATTTTTTTAATTAAATATTTAATTCTCTGCAGACTGGGGGAAAAAAATCAAAGCATTTTCAGTGGTGAAAAAAAAACCCAACTAATTACCTACCAGAGATTTACACGTAAGTCATAAAGTGCTAAACATTATTTTATTTTTTTTATTTTTATTTTTCTACCTGAACTCTACCAACCTTGCTACTTCATAAGCCTTATAGCAACCTGTTGTCAGACACTGTAAAGGTCACTTCAGTCATAAGCTATCACTCTCAGCTGCCATGGATGACTGTTGTGAGGTACTTTCAAGAAATCGTGATTAAACAAATGAGATGTCACTGTAGCAAGCTTGGCATCACAGCATCTCATGCTATTAATAATTTTAATTGGCTGAGGTCAGCTATAACAACACTTCGTCTAATTATGCTGCTGACATATCTGGAGCTTTTTTGTAGGATGCACAGTGTGGGGAGGCTACACATACACACGTTACAATCGCACAATTGTGTACTATTGATCAATGTTGAGCTTAAAGGCAAATTAGGTACTCAGTGGAGGATTATTATAAGGGCAGAATGGGGCTCCAGACTCCATGGGGTTGCTCAAAAAGTTTTGCACTTTAGTGCTCTTCTTTATAAGTCAATATTAGCTTTGGAAGTGTTTAGGCTTTTTCTTTTTTTTCCAGAAGGTAATCAGTATTGACCAGCCTTTGTATCCCTCTCAGTAAAGGTTCCATTTAAGACAATGGAATCATCAGGCACAATGCATATCCATACTCCGTATAGCTGGAAGTATTGTTTAGATATTATACGCCACCATCACATGAGTAATTTCACCATTGCATACAATCCAATCAATTTAAAATGCAAACACTGCATCCCAGATCTATTAGAAATGCTTCATAAACTCGTGTTAACAACAAATAACTGATACTAAATGCCTGTGTAGCCAGACACCATGCATGATTAAACTGGCAGGGGGCCATTCATTGACAATAGCCCGTGGCCCGAGGTAAAATTAATTTATTGCCATTTCCAGTGAATACACAATTGGATTTTTTCACGCTTGATATATATAAAGATTAATTGAATTCCCCTTGCTGCCTTAACTGTAAATAAGAAGCTTCTTACTAAAAGCAGGTGGGAGGAGTTGGGAACTCAAGTGTAGCAATCTTGCCCGAAGTAACATATACATTAGAGGGGTCATATAACTCCAAATGCTAACCAAAACCAAGCTTTGAGTGGGGGTGGGCTGGAACCTCTCTCAGATTTTGATAGCTGTTTATGTCTCCATTTTGAGGACATTCCTTTACTTCCTGTTTCAATGATAGGTATCGCAGGAACAAGAAGTGAGAGGAAATTTCTCCACTTCAGCAATTAAAACCTGACAGAGGATCTGTCCCTCCCCCATTCCATTAAAAAAATGATTTGTATTAATGTTATGTCTTATTGGATGGATGTTACCTTTCCTGTCTCAGTGGCACCACAGGAAGTAAGAAAATATCGCCACATGAAAGATGCAAAGCATTAAAATATATCTAAACCCAAGAACAACAATGTAATATATTGCGGATTACCCTCTTTGATGTGGTGGCTGCAGTCGTTTTTTTCGGCTTGTTTTCCTTTATTTTCAATTGGGGATCCTGCCAGTAATACGCCTTCTGTCCCAGGGTGACAACACTCTCTTACTGTATCTAGGGAGGAGCAGTGTTATCATCATAGTACAGGGCTACAGAACACCTCTCCCTCTCCTCTTCTCCATAACAATGGGGGGAAGTGTGATCCACAGAGATAACTGATTTAACTGATAACAGTACAGGCAGAGAACACCGGCAGCTGTCAGCTGACAAGGTTTTTGGCAGGATCATCAGGTATTGAAGAGATATAACAAAACACTTTCAATAGTATATAAAACAGACCAAAAGGGAGCAAATGAGAAATGGGTTTACAGAGACTATAAATCCCGATAGAGGACCACACCTAAGCAAAAACAAAAACAAATTGCAGGAGTTCCACTTTAACAACGGATCAAAGACTACCAACTTAATCTACAACAAATCGGGTTCTCCTGTAACAACCGTGTGCTGTCAAAATGCTGAAGGCTTATTTGTGAATCTCGGCTCTGGATTACTATGAATCACTACTCTTCGTATCACGTTATTAAATATAGCCAATTACATCATATTGCAGGTACAATTCTTAAAGACAAACTAGAGTGTATATTAGTAAGTAGACATTCGGAGGTGTGTACCCTAAAGTTTTCCTGAAATTCAGTTTTGATGTGACTTTATTTCCTTGCTTGCTGTGTATTTGTAGTCATGATTGTATTTTATATACAGATGCCTAGTTTGTCCCAGTACTGGCCACCTCTACGTCAGATACAGCAGTTCAAACAGCATCCTTGCTAAAGGATTGATGAGATAAAGGCAAATACAGGATAAGTTATCAATAGAAAACTAAAGGAGCAGGGACTATCCACCCAGCACAGTGAATGTTCAATTTGTAAAGCAGAAGAAGCTTACTTTGTAAAGTACATGGTGAACCTGTGCTCACTTTGAATGCCCAAAAAACAAACAAATAGGGTTTTTGCTAGCATGTGATTGGTTAATCAAAGTGAACCCAGCTTGACTTTATTTACTTACATTCCCTATGTAAAGTGAACAGCCTCTATTAGCCCCATTGTGTTCAATACATCATTTTAGATTTAGGTCCTCCTAACCCTTCTGTATAGTATTGCATTACAACTCTACTGTCTCCCCAAGTTTTATAAATGCTGCGCAAACTGCTTTATGAATCCTAATAGTTTAAATGAACCCAAACATGGGCACGCTGAGAGGACCTGTGACAATTACTGTGCTAAGCAAAGAGCACAGTATATAGTATGTGTCAAACAAATATGGCTGCCCTGGGTACATATATAATTAAAGCAGCAAGATTTTTTAAATATCACACATATGTTTTTTTACTTACAAATGCATCCTTTCTCTAACCATTTGTATGATTTGTGTACCATATTCATTTCAGATATAAACATTTAATGTATCCATGAAACTGAACTTGTGAAGCATTCTTGGATTTCTAACAAGATAGCACAGCACACTACTTGCATGGTTATTGGCATCCTGTGTATAAGAAAAAAATGATCCCTTCTGTATTATGAGAACAAGGAGGTAAACCCTTCTCTGTGACTGTGCAGTCTGTGTAATGTAATCTCCCTGATATTCAACTATATTTTACACGAGGGCAGTTCTAGGAGCTTGTAGAGAGCGGCTGTTCTGCTTGAAGCTCATCTGTGGGTAATATGAAGTGCTAAATATTAAACATTTAGGATCACATGTAATATTTGGCCAATAAAAAAAATGCAAAAATATTTTTTTTACTAAATATAAACTAATGAAGAAAAAAAAATATATATATATATATATATCTTTATCTATCTATCTATCTATCTATCTATCTATCTATCTATCTATCTATCTATCTATTTTTCTCTATCTATCCATGTGACAGTGGGACATGAAATGAAGGAAGAGAGTGTCACTGGGGCAGGAAGACACAGACAGTAATAATAAGCTGACAGAGGTTCTAACCCTTCCTGATTTTACTGTAAAACAAGATTTGTGTGACCACTATTGCGATTTTATCTCACTTCCTGTCCTGACTTAAAACAAAGGGAAATCTCTTCTATGGGGACACAGGCAGCAATAAATAAGTGACCCTTCCCTACTCTGACCAGAACAAAAAACAAAAGGTCTTGACTGGAGTTGGGTTTTACAAACAACACAAACAGAATTTGAAGGATTTTACACACTGACCAAGTCTGAAAAATGCAATCTGTCAGATAAGTGTCCAGTGAGTAGATTTTGCTTTCTAGCAACTGGCCTGAAACTAGGAGAAGCCCTAACACTAAAAACTCACCTTCTTAGCTCACACCACTGAGGTTGCTGGAGAACTACAATAAGATTGACATTAATGTATATTTGTTAATATGTACTGCCAGTGCCTGAGGCTGGCAGCACCGCTCTCCTCTACAGGATCCGAACACATATTATTAGCCTACTCAGTGTATGGTCAACCTTTCACT